AGTGACATACAAAGATGGCAGAGGCGTTATGGGCCTATCGTACAACCTATAAGACACCAACCAAAGCCACTCCTTATTCACTGGTACTTGGAGTTGAAGCAGTGTTGCCATTAGAAGTTGAACTACCATCCCTCCAGGTAGCAATTCAGAACGATCTAACCCAAGAACAAAACGCTCGCCTAAGAATGGAAGAACTCGATGCACTCGATGAGATTAGGCTGCAAGCTCAACGAAACTTGGAGATTTATTAAGCAAGGATGATGAAATCATTTGATCGGATGGTGCGCCATCGAGTATTTCAAGAAGGAGAATTGGTTCTGGTGCTGAGAAGACCAATCATCCCACATCGAAAAATCGATGGCAAATTCGTATCCAATTGGGAAGGCCCTTCGTCATCAAAAAGGTGTACCAAGGAGGAGCCTATCAACTTATCAATCTGCAGGGTCAGAGACCCATGCCGCTGATCAATGGTCGATATCTAAAGAAGTATTTTGCATAAAATTATCCATGAAAATATTTTGTTTAATGCACTGTGTATTTTACACGTGTTTATTAGCATATATGCTTTACATTTTGAAATTCTCTTATGTCACAAGAATGCATTTCAAAAGATACAATGAACTCTTTTCAAAGTATATACAGGTCATCTTCAAGAAGCTTAAGACTCCGTCTTCTCCAATGTACCAAGATTCAAAAGTCAGGAAAGAGATTTTTGTAACTACACACTCCAACAAATTGAGTCAGAAAAGCTTGAAGTCTTTCGACAGCCTAAAGCTTAAGGTTCGAATGGGTGTAAAAGGTCGGATCCAACACACCCAAATATGGCCGGATCGCTGGCAGTTCTGTCTACTTAATACGCCATAAGAACGGCCGTAGTAGCGGAACCCCCACTTCGTCAACCCGTCAATAAGGACTGTAGGAAGAACGAAGGTCAATTTGATTCGACAAGTTCAAGTGGTTGTAGTCCACTAAATTCTCCTAATTAACCGTATAATCAAAATTCCAGTGGGAAGAAGGAAGTGTCACGAGCAACTACTAAATGTGCGTAGGATCCAAAATCCTCAATCACAAAGGAGAACTCTAAATCTACCAACTCCAGTGAAATCAGCATTGGGAAGCATATTTCTCATGGCTCAAGTCTGAAGCCTGTATGGGTGTAGAAGGTCGGATCCAACAAGCCCCAATGTGGCCGGATCGCTGGCAGCTCCATCTACTCAACACGCCATAAGAAAGGTCGTAGTAGAGGAACTCCCATCTCAGCAACCAGAGGACAAAGGGCTATCAAATTCTAGCACTCCTGATCTGATGAACTCAAGTGACTCAGATTAAATTCTCCTCAAATGGTTGAGGATTAAGATATTACCTACATTTGATAGTATCGACCAAGTCCAAAACTTACAAATCCTTCAACAAATCCGTAAAGCACAAAGCGAGGATCGAAGGAATTCTTCTTCAACAAGTCCGCCAAAGCACAAAGCATAGGACCGAAGAAAGCTATCTTAAAATTCATCAAAAGCATATGGCTGAATTAAGAGGATTTCGTCATCAATAAGTTCGTTATCCATAAAGCTCTGGACCAATGACTCTCTAATCATTAACCTAATGCAAGCCCCGAGGGCTGGGTTATCAACATGCACTCCTTCATCAAGACCGTCAAAGCATAATGCAAAGGGCAGATGGAATGCAAATTTTCTGACAAGTCAATGAAGACAAATCAGGTAAACCTTCATCAAGTCCGCCGCAGAAAGCACAGGACAGAAGGAAGCAAACTCTCAAATGTTAAGTGGGATTCGTCATCATTAAGTCCATTAGCACAAAGCGTGGGACTTATAACAATTCCAAATGGTTCAATAAGCTATTATAGCCGAGCCAAAAGCAATTGCAAATTTGATACTTAAGGTCAATACATAAACATATATGCGAAGAAAGTTCAAGAAAGAGAATAAAGATGCATAAAGAGGGTTACATAATCTCCAACGAAGAGCAATATGAAATTATGATTAAAGTAATCGATTTTGTAGATCTTGAAGCTGTGACATCACTTCGGCAAGGGTCTGATATTCGGTCTCAGCGACATGCAATTCTTCAGCAGCCCGAGTAAGTGCAGCCTCAGCATCTTGCACAGCGCGGTGGCAAATCTGATAACGATCACGCTCCCTATCGATTACTCGTGCTTGCATTTTTTGTTTTTCTTGATGGTCAACCTTGCAGGACATTGAATTAATAATCCCCCTCCAGAGATTCTTTATCTTCGAAGAAAGTGTCCACTTCAGCTGAAGTACTCGTAGATCTCTCGTTATATCGTCTCATAGCATTAGCAGTCCTTGTGAAGTTATCATGGGCAGTATCAGCAATTTCTCGGCAAATTCTAACCTTCTCGCGAAGATCATGTAATGAGACCCGGGTTTGTATGATTGACAGAGACTTCAATCGTCGGACATAAAACTCAGCCTCACGGCACAACCCTTCCCAGAACATCATTTCATCTTCTTCCATTCTAATCTGCGATAAAACATTTAAGGTAGCGTTGGCAATGTTCGTAAATTGATCCAATGATTCGGGCGAGCCTGGGTTCAGTCTGGCAATCACTTCACGTAGGAACTGCATACTTTGGTTGCGCATGTCTATATTCCTTATGTCGGGGAATCGTGGGATGTGACGGAATATTTTTGATTGATAATCTGCTCCTTCTGGCACTATAAAACGGTGATGGAAGAAATTCATAAAAATAAAAAAAGATAAGAAAAAAAAGAGGGGGCGATCGATAAATGACATAACAAAAAAATGAATGTTCATACCTGTGCTAGATTCCACAAAGTGTGCTGGTGGGTTATTAATGAAAGGGACCTCAACCACTGGAGCTAGCTCGAAAAAAGTCGGAGTATACTCTGGCGCACTAAACCCTCCAGCAGGTGGTGACTCCCTTGCTGCAGATGTTTCCCCTGGCCAATATGACGAGAAGGGGTCTGTTGGAAAGAGTGTCTCCACGAAAGAAGACCCCGCTTCAGGTATGGGGGAGGGCATGCGCATGCTGGAAAAGCCCCCTTCATAATCATTAGAATGAATGTGTCTGGCATCCACAGACATTCGATAAGAGTCAAAAGGTACTTCATCCTGGGGTAACAACTGTTGTGTTAAAGGGCTCGCTGTCCAATCTGCTGAAGCACGCGGAGGCTCCATAGGACGAGAACGTACACGACGACGTCCCGATGAAGGGACATTGGCATAGCTTGGAGAGGGTTCCCTTGCTCGCACTCGTGATGGGGAAGATGTAATCCCCTCAATGGTATGTTGATCACCCTGCCCGCCTACACTCAAATTAAAAGAGGAAAGATGTGTAAAAAAAAATGAAGATGATAAAAAGTACATATACCTTCATTGGTTCCCTCATGTGCTGAGCCTCTTCGAGACCTTTGACCCCGAGGAGCTCCTAATGATCGCACCCGTCGTTCGTATTTACGAGCTCCGTGCTCCATAAAGGGTGCATATGATAATTTCACCCAAGTCAATCAAGTGTAGCTGACTCCTGTAAGGTTGCCGAGGGGTGTTATACGAAATCTGCTACCTGTGCCAAGCCTAAGCAAATGAATCCACATCAGCGAGGCGACGTACATGCGGGTTTCCGCAGGTACTGTATTCAACCCACTAACATCCGTGACACCAGGGAGACGCGGCAAACCCTCGTATGCGGTAGCTTGTGAAAAGCCAAATTATCTGGCAGTTCTATTGGGTTGATATCTTTCCAAGATCACCAATTGCCAGTAACGATAGCACAACCATCCAGGTCGCATGCTAATGAAATATTCAGCAACCAATAAAGAACGCCCTTTAAAAAGTAAGGTATACCTGCCGTGGCGATCAGTGTCATCGACGATGTCTGCTCCTATCAAATTACTGGGTAGGTTACCAAGCTCTAGCTGATGTACTAAACAGAAACAGTCTGCAACAAGGTGTGGTGCGAAAAAGAATAATCGTACGCGCTCCTGCTCCGGTGTGGACGCAGCCCTCAAAAGTTGCATATTGATTGGGTACAACTTATATGAGAAGTAGGAGGGATATTCCAGACAGCTAAATGCTCCCTGGATGTGAATGTAAACCCAAGCGTAAATATATTGCCAAGGGAGGGTTGTATAATGCCCATCGAGTGTAGGGTTCTCTGAGATAGCTCTGAATGTTCTGAAAATTTTGTTAAGAACTACAGGGGCAAGAGAAATACGCTCTCCATGTGACAAGAGACTGGCCGCCAGTAAAGCATTGCATCGAATAGTGCCTCCCTTAGCAGGGAGGACAAAAGTGCACAGCCAGCAAACTAAAAATCCGACGAGAAATAACTCTTCACTCATACCTGAAAGAGCGGGGGACATCTACCCTACGTCAGTAGAGGGTTCTGCAAGGTCTTCTGATAAAGCGTCGACGTACTCCATGCCTAGTTCAAAAGGATCTTGTATATGAGCGATGATTTGATTGAGTTTCTCCTCCCTAATGAAACTGCAAATCCAGATGTCTAAAGGGATAGTGGCCCGGGAACGCCTTGATAGCTTGGCCTCTTTACAAACCCGCCGATAATGACTCAGTGCAGCGGGAAAGACTGTGGGTAAAATTAGTTCTCCCCATCTATTCCTGCTGGAGGAAAGTCGCCTACGGAATAGCTCTTCATCTGGAGGAATGCATTCTTCATATCGACGTCCAAAGATCGGCAGACCAGAGACTGCCTGCAGCTCCCACAGCGTCATTGTCAACTCCTCAGAGCCCATCCATCAAGTGTTAGTCGTCGGGTCCCAAAATTCTATCACTCCCTTTATCCGAAGAGTGGGGAATATTCTCGAAGCTGAACATTGAAGCATATATAGCTTCGCATATATCTGCCCTTTACAAGATAGTTTTATGGGCTCTTAAGACATACCTTGCCCAAGATACATACCCACGTGCAGGTCTTGAGAGTTGCCCAACTGGAGAATCTCTAGGCCACTCATGTGTAGCTGGTTGTAATTGTCAGTGACTCAATATTTAGATTGTCCAACTTTCTCAACGACATCGGCGGCCGGCTCCAGGATGTCGTACATACCAGAGCTCACCTGAGCAAAGGTACTCTCCAAGGGGTTGTAGTCCCCATATTTCAACCTGGTAGTGGTCACCCACTCAGTAGAATCTTCATATACTGAGGGATTAAGCTCAGAGTGTGGCAGAAGAGGCGAGCGTACGAAGAATTCACCATAAATACTACGGCCCCTCAGCATCTCCTCGTGTTGCTCCAGCCTATCAGCCATATTAGCAGTTCCGCGAGGATCGTGCTTGTCAATCAATTCCGAAATGGCCTCTTCACTAGGCTCATTTCGCGGTATTCCCTCCGGTCTACTCCAGTTGAACATCTTTCCTGACAAAAGATAAAAGAATCATAAGAAAGCATGCAAGCTGATAAGAGGAATGGAGCATAAAAATACTTTATATGCTTCGCTCCTATCTTGCGTTGACATCCAAAAAAAAGAGAAGAAAATTTTTGGAGATTCGCAATGTCAACAATTTACAACAAACAAGGTCCGCTTTAGGCGCGCACCATATTTGCTGGGGGGCATTTGTTGACCCCAATACTAGTGTCGGGTTCGAGTCGACCGCGCAAGGTGAATTTCGAAATCAAAAAAGCATGAAATCGCGCAAAATTCACCCCACGTGTGTCGACCCAAAACCAAAAAATCGCCGAAACAACCTCCGTTCGCGAAACGGACAGCGCCGATGCGTTTGGAGCAACGGAAACAGCTAAGATTGACACCAATATTGGTGGGGGTCGGCGAAAATTTTAATTTTAGGGCGCGCGAATCGAGACGACGGCGTGTGCGAGCGGCGACGCAACGACCAACTTGATGCAAGATTAAAAATTTATTTTTATTTTTGTGCAATAAAATTAAAAAAAAAATTGAAAAAAGGAAGAGAAATGGAGCTTCTTAAATAAGAAAATGATTTTTCTAAATAAAAAATCCCTAAAATACCCCTCACTTAACCCTCACTCCCACATATTCTCTTCTAGCCGCCCCCCTCTCCCCACTCACGACATTCTCACGCCCAAACTCACGCAAGAAGGCCGGCCTCCCTCTTCTCCTCCTCCAAGCAAGGTAATTTCTCCTCCTCTTCCTCTCTTCTTCTTCTTCCTCTTTTCTTCTTCTTCCTCCATTTTCTTCTTTTCTTCTTCTTCTTCCTTCTCTCTTCTTCCCCTTCTCTATTTTTCATCTTCCCTCCAAGTTTCCCACCATTTTCTTCTATTTTCTTCCTCTACTCCTTTCTCCTTCCTCTCCTTCATCTTCTTCTTCCTCCTCCAACCTCTTTTTCTTAAAACCTACAAAACCCTAAACCCTATTTTTTTTTCTCACTTTCACTCACAAAACCACCTACATCCCTTCACAAAAAATGTTCCTACACACCTACACCCTTCCAACAAAAAAATTTTTCATCCTTCATTTTCTCTCTCTAACCTAGAGAGAAAATTTTCACTCTAGAATGAGAGTGAAATTCCTTCATGTACGGCTCTATTTCCATCCTAAGCGTCTCCCCTTCCCACCAAACCTCCAAATACCTTGCCTAGAGAGAAAAAAATTTCCCTCCTCTCTTTCTCT